AAAAAGAGCAGTTTGTGTCAGAGTTCTCTCAGCCCCACCCACCTCCCAGGGTGTCTGTTGTGGGGAGGGGAAGGGAAAGGAGTTTGTAAGCCGCTCTGAGACTCCAAGTGAAGGGCGGAGTATAAATCCAATCTCTCTTCTTCTTCTTCTTGCCTCACTCCACAAAGTAACTGAAATGGCAAAGAAAAATGTCCTAAAAAGAAAATCACCTGATCAAACGCCTTTTTGGCATCTATAAGGTAAAAGGCAGCAGATAAGAACATAAGAGATGCCAATGTTGGATCAGGCCAAAGGCCCATCCAGTCCAACACTCTGTATCACACAGTGGCCAGAAATACCAGTGCTATCAGGAGGTCCACCAGTGGGGCCAGGACATTAGAAGCCCTCCCACTGTTGACCCCCCAAAGCACCAAGAAGGCAGAGCATCACTTGCCCTAGAGCCCCTATCTATACCTTGTGGCTAATAGCCCCTGATGGACCTCTGCTCCATATGCTTATCTAATTCCCTTTTGAAGCCGTCCATGCTTGTAGCCGCCACTACTTCCTGTGGCAGTGAATTCCAAGTGTTAATCACTCTTTGGGTGAAGAAGGACTTCCTTTTATCCGTTCTAGCCCCACCGCTCAGCAATTTCATGGAGTGCCCACGAGTTCTTGTATTGTGAGAAAGGGAGAAAAGTACCTCTTTCTCGACCTGCTCTTTCCCATGCATAATCTTATAAACCTCAATCATGTCACCCCTCAGTCGTCATTTCTCCAAGCTAAAGAGCCCCAAGCGCCTTAACCTTTCCTCATAGGGAAAGTGTTCCAACCCTTTTATCATTTGAGTTGCCCTTTTCTGCACTTTTTCCAAAGCTATAATATCCTTTTTAAGGTGTGGTGACCAGAATTGCACACAGTATTCCACATTGAGTCCTCTTGATCTGTCTCTGCCAGTTCAGACCCCATCAACGTGTATTTATAGTTAGGATTTTTGGCTCCAATGTGCATCACCTTGCACTTGGCCACATTGAACCCCATTTGCCATGTTGACGCCCACTCGCCCAACTTTGACAGATCCCTTTGGAGTGCCTCACAATCCTCACTGGTTTTCACCACCCTGAACAACTTCGTATCATCCGCAAATTTAGCCACTTCACTGCTTACTCCCAACTCCAAATCATTAATGAACAAGTTAAAAAGCAGTGGACCAAGTACTGATCCCTGTGGTACCCCACTGCTTACACCCCTCCACTGGGAGAACTGCCCATTTATACTCACTCTCTGTTTTCTATTAATTAGCCAGTTTTTGATCCATAAAAGGACTTGTCCTTTTATCCCATGATTTTTGAGCTTGCTTAGGAGCCTTTGATGAGGAACTTTATCAAAAGCTTTCTGGAAGTCAAGGTAAACAATATCTATTGGATCCCCCTTGTCCACATGTTTGTTCACCCCCTCAAAGAACATTAACAGGTTAGTGAGACAAGATCTTCCCTTACAGAACCCATGTTGAGTCTGCCTCAATAGGTTTTGTTCATCTATGTGCCTACTAATTCTTTCCTTAATAATGGTTTCCACCAATTTACCCGGTATCGACGTCAGACTGACTGGCCTGTAATTTCCCGGATCTCCTCTGGAACCCTTTTTAAAGATGGGAGTGACATTAGCTACCTTCCAGTCCTCAGGAATGGAGGCTGATTTTAAGGAGAGATTACATATTTTTGTCAGGAGATCCACAAGTTCACAATTGAGTTCTTTCAGAACTCTTGGATGTATGCCATCTGGGCCTGGTGATTTATCAGTTTTTAAGTTGTTTATCAGTTTTAGGACCTCCTCTCTCGTCACCTCAATCTGACTCAGGTCTTTCAACACCCCTCCCGAACTCAGCGGCTCTGGAGTGGGCAAGCACCTCTCATCTTCCACAGTGAAGACGGAGGCAAAAAATGCATTTAGCTTCTCAGCCATTTCCCTATCATCCTTCAGTACTCCTTTTACCCCTTGGTCATCCAAAGGCCCCACTGCCTCCCTGGCTGGTTTCCTGCTTCTAATGTATTTGAAGAAAGTTTTATTGTTGGTTTTTACATTTTTTGCTATATGCTCCTCATATTCCCTTTTTGCCTACCTGACCACAGACTTGCATTTTATTTGCCATAGCCTGTGTTCCTCCACCCTTCGTGGGGATCTCCACGCCCTTCTGCTTTGGGGCTTTGGCTCCAGGGGATGTAATAACCGTGGGGCAGAAGGCAGCATAGTGGCCCGGCTCTCCACAACGCAGGCAAAGCCCTTGTCACAGCCGTTGATCCCGTAAGGGCTCCTTTGGCTTGGGGCGCGAGGTCTTCGCTCCTCCCCCCAGTGCCTTTGGAACCGGCTTGGGTGTATGCATCCGGATCATCTGGAGGCGATTTTCGGCATCCCCGGCTTCCCTCACCCAAGCAGCCAGTGTTACGGGGTTCACACTGCGAAGCACCGTCTCTAAGATCTGGTGATTCAGCCCCAAGCGATACTGCTCCATGAGCATGGCTTCGGGCCATCCTTGGATCTTGGCCGCGTACATCTTTAACTCATCTGAGTACTCCCACACCAACCGAGCGCCTTGCTCCAGGGCTCTCAGGTTCGTGTGTGCTGTCTCCGCTTCCATAGGGTCTCCATGCTGCCTTCTCAGGTCCCACATGAACGCTTGCACCTCACAGGGTTCGGGACCTCGCGAACTGTGCAGCCCAACATACCAGTCAGTCGCTCACTCTCTCAGGTGTGACCCAATGTAATCCACTTGGTGTTCATCTGACGGGAAGGTGTGGCCCCAGTCCCGAAGGAACTTATGCACTTGTAGCAGTAAAAAGGCAAGTTTATCCAGATTGCCATCAAACGTAGCGTCCAGCAATTATCGTGGTCTCTCTGGCCCCAGGGCAGGCGGGACAGTGGGTTTGGCCAGCGGCTGGACTTGCTGGTGCCAGCTGTTGTCCTGGGGGCACTGGCACTGGCAGTACTTGGCCAGCCGGGAGAGCTGCTGGCCCTGCAGGGCGCTGCAACTGCAGCTCGTGTTGCACTGTCGTAGCAATGAGACGGTGCAGGTTGAGCATCATCTCCTGCATCTCTCTCCACATTTCTTCTTGTTGGGCTTGCAACTCGCGTCTCACACGTTCTAGTTGCTCTTCACCCCCGCCACCGTATCCCCCATACTCTCGGCCACTCTTCATAGGGTAGAGGTGGTCATACCAGCTGGTGCCTCTCGCCAGAGGGGTGATTATCCACGATTCCCTTGTTTCTGTGGAGAAACTGGCCCACATGTAAGGGTCTTGCCACGGTCTCTCCGGGCCACATATCTCAACACATCCACTAGCTCCTGGGGTGGTGATGGTGGTCCCCGTTGTGGTGGGGATCTCTTCCACACTGGTAACTGGAATGTCTCTGATCTCCTCATCAGCCATGGTGGGGTACGAGTTTCGGGGACTATGCGAGTTCTAACACTCTGTCAGAGTCCTGCAGCAATCCGTTCCCAACAACTCCCATTCAAAAGAGTGAAGTTTATTGAGTCAGTAAAGGCAGGTCATCTGTGCATACATTCTGTGTTAGAACTGACTGCAAGCATGCGCAATGGGGAGTTATACATAATTCAAAGGGGTCCCCCTGGTGGACCTGGGCCAATCAGGGAACTAGCAAAAGCCCGCCTAACCTAACGGGTCTACATTCTCAGAGAAAGCAGCAACAAGGTACCAAGGTCACTAGCTTAGGCTAGCAGATAAGAGAAGTTGGGAAGAAACGAAAGTTAAGATTCAATTACAGCAACAGACCCATCCATCCCCTCCCCCCTCCACCAGCTATGGCAGCGGCTGAGCTGACAGCAAGCTATAGTGGTCCAGTCTGGAGGTGACCATTGCATGGGTCACTGTGGCTAAGTCATGGGGGACAAGAGAGGGAGCCAGTTCCCTGACCTGCCAAAGATGGTAAAAGGCCTTTGTGACCTCGGCCCCCGCTGAAAGTGTGGTGTCCAGGATCACTCCCGGCATTAACAGCATCCTGCCAAGGGTGGGAAGCCGGATTCCCAGTCCCACCCCCCTGTGGCTCAGGCACAGGGCCTCCATCTTAGATGGATTTAATTTCAGTTGGCTCGGTTTCAGGCACGGCCTCCAGTGCCCTGGCCTGAACCTCTGGGGCGGTATCTGGGTGGACATCCATCAGCGGATAGAGCTGGGGGCTAGGGTTACTGGTGGTGGCCAGCTGGGCGAGAGGGTGCACGTCGATGTTAGACAACATAGGGGAGAGGATCACCCCCCTGAAGGACGCCGCATACCAACGGGTAACGCGGTGAAACCATCTCCCCGAGTGCCTCTCTCGGTCTCCGACCTTGGAGAAAAGAGATAAGCCATTGCAAGGCAGTCCCTCGTATCCCCACGGCCTGGCTGCTGCCAAAGCATTGGTGCAGGGGAGGGGCCACCTCTGTGCTGGGCCTCGGGGAGCAGCCACAGCGAGGCCAGAAATGGTGAGCGCTGCACCGTTTGCTTGCAGGATCTGGGAGCAGGTGTGGGAAGGCTGGGCTCTGCCCACGGCTGCAAGTCTGTTCTAGATGCTGTTGAGTCCACTCTGCCCCAGCAAGGCCGAGGCATCTTTCTCTCCTTTGCCTCTGCTGCAGCTGAGAGCAGGCAGGAAGCCATCGCGAAGACTGCCGTTTCTTGAAGTGTTTGGGCCTAATAAAACTGAGGAGAAGAGAACTGTTGCAGCTTCCCCAACATGTGGGCCTGGTAGGGCGTGGGCTGGGGATCTGCCTCTTTCTGGACATGGAAGCCGTGCAATACAGTCTGCACAGGGCTTGCCTTCCGCGTGAGTAGGAGGCACCAGTCCCCCAGGTACAACCCAGCAACGGGAGGTTAACTGTGGCCACCCAGCGAAGAGGAGGGGAGCGATTTCGCTGCTGGCTCCCTCTGCAGTAAGGATGCTGAGGGTCAACTTCCGTGAGGATCTCCCAAGCAAGGCAGAGTGTCTGCATGCCTCTGGAATGCTCTCTTGTCATTGACTTCTCTTCTCAGGTTGTTGCCATAGTGATGGACGTTTTCACAGATGTGGACCTGCTGAGTGAGGTGCTGGATGCAGCCGCACGCAGAGTGCCCGTCTACATCCTGCTGGATGAGATGAATGCCCAACTCTTCCTGGACATGGCTGCCAAGTGCAGAGTGAACCTGAACTATGTGGAAGTGAGTGCACAGTGGGGCGTGACTGGAGCGACATCAAGTAGATGGGCCAATAAGGCACCGTGGGACTGGGAAGCCGGCTCCCCATTGATGCCTCCCCCCGATTTGGGCTGGCCTCGCATATCCCCAGACTAGCATCAGCAGACTTCCATTTTCCTGTTTCTAGTACTGGTATTTGCCCCTCACCTGCTTTGACGTGCCCCCTTAGGCCTTTCATGCCTGGAGAAGCTAAGTGGAGCCTCCACCGACCCCTTCTGCATGAAAATCAGCAAAGGACTCCTCCTCCTCCCGCTGTGAGCATAAAACACCACCCAGTCGACTTCCTTGGTCTCCCACTTTCAGCTCCACGGCTTTGTGCATGTTTATTCAGAAGCCATTTGCACTGTATTCAGGAGGGCTCGGGCCTACAGTTTTAGCCTTGGCCTCCTATTATGGGTTAGGGTTTTACAAGAAGAGTGAATTGAAGCGAAGAAAAAAACAATTCTGGGGGAAATGAGGACATCTCATAATAAAATGAAACTGTAACGGAGGTGCTAACTTGGCTTTTACTCCTGGAGGGAGGCTGGTCTTTTCTCCATCAAATAAAAGATGAGTTTGACCCAGCCCTCTGGAAGAGGGCGTGAAATCTGGGGGTGGGTGGGTGCTCTCCTGGGAGTTCAGACCAAGCCAGAATCGGCGGGCCCTGCGGGTTCAAGAGCCAGCCAGAGAGGAAGGGCTTTGTTGCCTTTGGGGATTTCCCTGCTTGAACTCTCTCCGTTGCTTTGCAGTTCCTGCGGGTGCGAACGGTGTCTGGCCCCACCTATTACTGCCGCACGGGGATGTCGTTCAAGGGGCATGTGAAGGAGAAGTTCCTGCTGGTGGACTGCATGGTAGTGCTGAGTGGCAGCTACAGGTGAGGGGGGAGGGGGGAGGAGGAGGACACGAGGGCGCTGCGGGGGTGGGGTGGGGGGTTGCTCTTCTGCTCCTGCAGCTGGCAAAGACAAAGGTTCCCCACGTGGGCAGCGGTGGGAGGGGGTGGGTGGGAAGCGTGGGTTCCAGAGGAGGGGACTGAGGAGAGGATTTGTGCGTGTGGCTCGTATTGAACTCCTGCCCAAGGGCTGTAGGCCAGGGTGCTGAGGAGAGACCTACCTGCTCATCCTCTTGCAGTGAGTAGGCTGGTGTAGTCTGGACTCCTGTTGTGAAAATTCCATCAAACTATTTATGTCCAGGTTGCATCCATCAGACTGGGAGGGGAGGCGATGTGGCGCAGTGGAAGAGCCTCTGCTTTTTACACACAGAAGGTACCAGGTCCAGTCCTTGGCATCTGCTGTTAGGAGCCCAGGGACTAGTCTGAAAGACCTCTCTGCCTGACACCCTGGAGAGCCACTGCCAATCTGAGTAGATCGCAGTGACCTTGATGGACCCATGAAGTCCACTTCGAGTGTGTTCACGTGCGTGAAGGTGCACCAGAGTTCAGGTCTGCCTCCTGGATGCCAGGGCTTCCCCAAGGACCTTATGAAAAACAAGCAGTGGCTGCCTGTAAGAGGCTCATGTGCCGCACGGGAGGAAGAGTTTCCACACATTACAATAACTCCACATTCTCTTATTCGCTTTTTTTGCAGCTTCATGTGGTCATTTGAGAAGATCCACCGGAGCATTGCCCATATCTTCCAGGGAGAGTTGGTGGCCAGCTTTGATGAGGAATTCCGCATTCTGTTTGCACAGTCGGACCCTTTGGTTCCTCCCGCCAATGTCTTGATGAAGACAGAGAGCCTCATGGCGCCCTTTGGCTTGGCACCTTTTGGCAACAACATGACCTTGTTCCCAAAGAAACCCCACCTGCTGTTCCCTCGAGAAGACAGCCTTTTCTCACCATTTATGGACAGAGTCGATCCAGACCGGTACTTCTTGTCCTCTTTCAGAAGAGACGACTTGCTGCGTCACACCTTGGAGGGTTCAGGCATGAGAATGTATTCCAAAAAGATGGAAATGGAAAATGCCCAAATGGATCCTGTCCGGGGCTTTCTCCGTTCCAAGCAGTTGGAGTTGGATTCATTTAAAAGGCATAGCTTTGCAGAGGGAACCTTTGAGAACTTTTCTGCTTCTAAACAGTATTCCAGGCAGATGTTCATGAATAATTTGGATGACTTTAAAATCCAGTCAAGCCACTTTCAGAAGGACCAGTTCTATCAGTACCAATTTGAACACCCACATGGTGCAAACAGGCCTCAGGGACTCTTTGAAAGAATCCGAGGTGGCAGACCAGGGTTTGGTGAATTAGAGGACTACACAGATGCCTCAAGGTACCCAGAACTGGAATCCAACTTTCCCCAGGAGAACTTCCCAATGCGCCTGGATTATGTGCCTTCTAATTCTTCCAAAGAAGTGAGACATGGCTCTGACCAAGTGAACCCTGCAGGAAATGGCCTTCTAGGGCTACCACCTCTAAAACGGCAAAACATGGGGCAGAAGTTCATGTGCCAGACATCCCCTACACAGAAGCAGAGCCTGGAACAAAGGCTGTTTCTGCATGACCAAGATCAGGACGCTGATCAGGACAAGAAATCACAAGAGAACAGAGCAGGTTTACGGAACTGGAGAATATCCTCGTACCTGAGTGGGTACCAGTCTGAATCGGGAGAAGAAGGACTCCCGGTGCCCATGGAGACGGAGCCCTTCAGCGAGGCGCTTGGCCTTGCAGAGCCTCTCTCCAGGTACCCCAGTGACCTCCTCATCCCCTCCTTCAAACCCTCACTTCCACTCTCCAGTGCCAAGGAAATGGCTGCTGGGGCTGACAGAGCAGGCGAGGAGTCCTCTGTCCTGAAGCAGGAGCCGTTCAGGAGCAGGATAAATCCATTGATCCAGAGGAGCTCACGGCTCAGATCCTCCCTTATTTTCAGCGCTGCCAAACTAGACCAACAGAACGCCTCAGCTGAGAAAGTTCAGATGATCCAGAAAGAGCAGACATCCACGGAGGTGACAAAAGATAATGAAACAATCAAGACTTCCAGTGCCTCTAAAGTAGCTGAGCTGCTAGAGAAGTACAGGACTGCAGGCAAAGACTCTGAGAGTACCACAGTCAGTCACACTAAGGCCATGTCCGCATTTCTCCAGGAAGAATCCCAGAATGCAGAGAAGAAATGTACCAAATCAGTGCAGTATAAGATTTTGGAGAGCAGGGTGCTGGACTCAAAAGAATCCTTGAGTTACAAGCTGCACGCAGAGTCAGATGCACTGTGTGGAGTGTCCCCTGAAGCTAGCCAGCTCACGGATGCCCTAAACAAGGATACCATAGCACAGATTAGCAGTAAAATGGACAAGTTATCGTCTCGATTTTATCCTGTAGACAACAAACTCAGTCTTCCAGAGAAGGAGAGCCTTATCTTTGTGGGAGAAACACAGAAACTTAATCTTCCAGAAAGGAAAGAGAAACCATCACTCAAAGGCGAGGCACAGAATCCAGCCGGTACAGAAGTGACAAAACCAGCAGAAGCCCAGCCCAGTGCAACATCCACACTTGAGGGCTTCCCAAAGAGCCAGGACTCCGACAGCTCAGCCGGCAAGCCAGAGGACGAGTGTTGCAAGCAAGAGCAGAGCCCAAGAGAGTTTTTCAGGAGAGGGTCCCTGAGGCTAAAGCAGTTGTTAAACCCCAAAGGTGAGAAGAAGTCAGAAGAAGAAACTGTCGCTGAGAGCTGGAAGCCAGACAAGCAAAGTGTGGGCCTCAAGCGATCCTCCAAGGGTGATCTGCAAGAAATCGTAGAGGAGGAGAAATCTCCAAAGCTGACTCCACCACCTGTCTTCAAAGGGAATCCACCTCGGTTTCCGTCATCTACTGCCAACGTTCTCTACAGCAGTAACCTCCGTGATGACACAAAGGTGATTCTGGAGCAAATTTCTGCCAACAGTCAGAAGAACCGAGCAGAGCTGGCCAGACAGCTTCCGATCGCTGGCAACCCTGAGCTGTCCAGGTCCACAACCAGTCTGGACAACAGAGTTGAAGAGAAAAGCACAGGGATCAGCCGGTCAGAAAGCTTCGGCAGTCATAGGAGGAACCTTCAGAGAGAACCTTCGGAGGACAGAGATTCCCTTCTGAAAAGGATGGAGAGCATGAGGAAAGAGAAGCGAGTCTACAGCCGATTTGAGGTCTTCTGCAAGAAGGACGAACAAGGGGAAGGGGAATGTGACATCGATGCCAAAGACAAGAAGATGGGGAAGTTCATGCCCAAGCTTCTGGGCACGTTCAAAGCCAAAAAATGACTCCAGCCGTTGTTGCCTGTTTCCACCTTCCTGCTCCAAAGATACACTGCCTGGGAACATAATGCTGCTGCTGGTGGTGGTGGTGGTGGTGGTGGTCTCTGTTGACCAGACAGCTGTATTTACCCACCCACCCTCGTGCTGGACAGGTCTGGGTGGCAGAGGAAATGCTGGACATTTTGAAGGTGGCCTAAAGGTCATTCTGTGCAGTAGGATACATGGCCTCCAAAACACCCCCAGAACTTCAGCTAGCTTGGGAAACCCCCACAAAAGGGCTCCCCCACAAAAAAAGAGTCCATAAAAAGGAGTCCCATAAGCAACTTTCTCTGGCAACAGGTAAAAATTAACTCCCAGCTAATCTGCCAGGCCTGTGAGCTTCACGGACCCGTTCTTAGACACAGACGCAGCCCGCCCGGTCTCAGGGGACTGTTGTGACTTAGGCTGACTCTGGAAGAGTGTCTCTGACTCTGCTCCTCAGAGGAAGAGCCACGTCTTGCACTTAGCTGCAGCAGAGGCCTCCTTGACTGGCACTGACTCACCCCGCAAACTTTAATAATGCTCTTTTTCATCGGGCATGTTTCTCGCTTTGTGGGCGGGCAGGGCTGTGGGGTGAGGGGCCTGCCTGTGGGGAGCAGAATTCAGGGCTGAGCGTGTCCTTGGCGGACAGTGGCCACGTGGCAATGTAGTGTCTGGTAGACCTGGGCAGGCGTGGCTCCCTTGAAGTCCTGGAGGGAAGGTCATTTGAACAGGAGAAGAGCCTGGCTCTCACCGTGTGGAGTGGGCAGGATTGTGCGGGGAGGGACAGCAGGTCGGGGCTTTGCTGGGGGTGGGGCAGCCATATGGAAGCCAGAGGAGCCCTTCATTCTAGCCTCGAGGGGCCAGCCCACGTCTGGCTCTGCCAGCTCTCACGCGGCACATAGAGGGACTCACATGCGGCTGCTCTTGGCAGGCACTCCACAGAGGCTGGGGAGCAGCAGCATCCGATGCTGCTCCTTCTCCCTCAGGAAAAAAAAAAACGAAAAGCAAAACAGGCTGGGGGGGGGGAGCAAAAGAGGAAACAGTGTAGAGAACGGCCCCTGCCATCCTGGGCTCAGGAGAGGCGTGGGGGTAAAAGGGTCTGCCCTTTGGTCCTCCTTGGAAGACCGTGGTGTGAGTGTGTGGGGGGGAGAGGGGGAGAGCCAGGCTTGGGAAAGCAAAACCCCCCCCGACTGCCAGTGATCTTTACAGAGGAACTCTCCAGCCCCACTTGTGGTGAGACCCGTGGCCCCGTGAATGAGGCCAGTGACAGTGGCAGCAGCCCCACTTGGGGGCAAGGGTGGCGGGTGGGGCTGGGGAAGGATCCATCCATTCACTCTCCATCCATTCCCCCCCCTGCACAAGTGTGAAGATATAAATTATATACGTGTGTGTGTGTGTGTGTGTGTGTGTGTGCAGTGTTCCCTCTAAGCCGAGTTAGTGTGAGCTAGCTCAGAGTCTTTTAGCCTCCGGCTCATACATTTTTGTCTTAGCGCAGGATGGATGGCTCCATGGCAAACTGATTTATGCGGTTGCCAAATCACTCGCTCACAACTTTAATGCCAGTGGCTCACAAAGTAGAATTTTTGCTCACAAGACTCCACAGCTTAGAGGGAGCATTGTTGTCTGTATGTGTGCCATTTCCACCCAGCTGGGCACTGGTGGAGACAGAGACACCCTCCTGCAGGACGGCAGAGCCACAGCCCCCACCCCTGCCATCAAGATCCCAAGAGAGGCTTTGTACCTCCCTTGGGCAACCCACCCACCCACAGATGTCTGTATTTCCTGGACTTCCTTTCCCCTCACACACACACACACACACCCCTTTCATATTCCCTCATCTGGGAGGGGGCCATCCCCAAGCACTCAGGAATGCCGGCCAGTACTGCCAAAGCACCGTCTCCAGGCAGGCAGGCAGGCAGGCAGCAGCCACCGCCACGGAGGAGGCCTGTGGGGACCATCCTGAGTCGTGATGCAAAAAACCAGCAGCAGGACCTGCCTCTGGTCAGCTGGCCCCAGCCTCTTCCCGTGGAGCAATAAGCAACAAGGACAGCATTGGATCACATAAAGCATTGCTGATCTACTGTGGCACAATTGGGAACATTCGACAGAAAGAAAAATAAACTTGTACATAAACCATAAATATCTCCTGCCTCATTGTGGGGGGTGGGGACTTGGGGGGCAACACCCCAAATGTTAGAAATCAGGATCCTCACATCACCTCTTCATATTATCTAGACTTGTGCAGAGGAGTTTGTTTCGTTTTTTCATTTTTGTTATTCTAGGGATGGGCACAGACCCGCTCACAAATTAAAGCTCATCACGAATTATGGCTGGTCCGTGGTTCGCAAAGTGATGTTCACAAACTGAAGAGCTGCCATGAGCTTCCGGGAATTTTAAGGCAGTTTGTGGTGGTTCACGAAGAGCAGTGGCCCCACTGCTGGGCCTCCCAATGGCCCCTGGTATTTCTGGCCACTGTGTGACAGGCAGAGTGTTGGACGGGAGGGGCCTTTGGCCTGATCTTTTATGTTCTTATGTAAAGCAGAGGTTTAAGTGGCTCCCTGCTGCTCAGCTGTTTGGTTTAAATGGCTCTGAGCCATTTAACACCCTGATTTCTGCTTGCTACCACTTTGGGCAAGGAGCAGAAAGCAGGAGTTTAAATGACTTTGAGCCATTCAAACTCCTGCTCTCTGCTCCCTGCCAAAAGCAGCGGGGAGCAGAAAGCAAGGGTCATGAACCGATACAAACAGGTTTGGTTTGCAAACCAATGTATCAATTTGTGGTTCAGTTCATGGTTCAACCAGAAACCATGAACCTGACTGTTAAAATGCAGTTCATGCCTATCCCTAATTCCAAAACAGACTGTTACATTATTGGGTTGTTTTGTATGGTTCTGTTTTGTTATTGTTTCTTTTGGTATTGCTGTTTTGTTTTCATAATGTTATCTTGTTATTATTTTCCATTGGTTCCAGTGAAAGACACAACCCCCCTTTTCTCAGTTCTCTATCTTCATGGTTTTCCATCTAAATTTGATAAAACTTAGGACTGTAGTACTCCCCTATGACACCCACATCTCCAGATTTCAGACAGAGAGAATAAAGGGGCTCTCTTTTTCGACACAATGAAAGGCACCAAGGTTTTACAGTAAAGTCTACAGGAGAATTGATAGAAAAGATGCCAAACAGTAATGCAGATAGCAGTGCAGCCACTGAGCTTGAAGGACAGTAGCATGAGGAAGAGGGAGACTGACACAGCAAGGGCATTTGGTGGCACAAGGAGGGGGAGGCATCTGGGAAGGCAGGCAGCAGGAGGAGGAACTAAGGGAAGATTGGCTTGGATAGGGCGAGACGGTTTGGAGAGCGGCAGGCAAGCAGGGGAGTACAGACCACAAGGGGAAACTTGGCACAGCTAGGCAGGGAAGTGGGAGGAGAGAGTGTTTCAGAACTAGAATGCCTCACACACGTAGGTAATCATAGTGGCTACAGATTGCAGGGAACCATTGAAACCCAGAGCCTCTCCCCCCCTCTTCCAAAAAAACACACTGAGCTCTCTCAGCATCCTATTTAGGAAAATGTGGTCTGCCTTGTTAAAATGAAACCTGTAGAGGGCAGTGATTGCAATAATGAATGAAACCAGAACAAAACTAAAGAAAATCATTCCCCGCCCGGCCCCCCCCCCCATATAGGCTGATGTGGAATTTGTTTCATTTTCATATTAATTACAGCCCCAATGTCCTTATGATTGTGCACTGCTGAGGAGCACTACACTGAGTGTCCCACCTGTGACGGTGGATGTTCCACTTCACAGTGTTGGCACACACGGCACCACTGCCTAAGGACAGTTTGTCTCTAATGGCCCTGTGAAATAAGAGGGAAGGGGAAGAATTATAATCAACTAGCAAGAAAAGGCTGCAAGATGAAGCCTAATCAACTGGCAGAGGGAGTCCAGCATGTTCACCACACGTGCCTAAGAGCGGCCCTGCTAGATCAGCCCAAAGTAGCATAGTCTGGTCTTGATGCTGCTGTGGCGTGGATCCAGGTGGTCAGATCTGCTGTGCCAAGGTAGGGAGCCATCTTCTGGGCTAGACCGAGTTGGAAATAAGAGGTTTTTGCAGCAAAATGAACTTGCTTCTCCACCAGTAATGTTGTATCTTAATGAGTCAGCAAGGGTCAGCTGAATCCCGTTGAAATGGGGAATGGTGTTCTTTAGTATCTCTGCCTTCACAACCAGCATTACTTCTGTCTTTCCAGGCTTTAGTTATGGACTCCTTATTTGATGGGAAAATACTGGGGTAGCAGAATGGAAGTATTTTGTGGGGGAGGGCTAATTTTGGCATTTTTGTGTAAATATTAACCACATTTTAAAAAAGAATTTGAGGGGTTCTCAGTTCATTTGGGGTATTTTTCAAACAGTATATAAATTGCTTAAACTAGAAAAAAATGTCTTCTAGAAAAACAAGGTAAGTGCCATACTTATACTCTACATCCAGTTGTCATAAGCATTGACTCCCAACTGCAAAAAAACCCCTCCAAATGGTATCCAGAAAAGGTAATAATCAGTATACCCAATAGTTAGCATAGACCCATCTGTGGATCCTTAAACCTGAAGATTAGCACATGTATACACAAAACATACATTTCTACAATCAGGCTTGCAAAAAAAAATCCTAAAACTAAAAAGGGGTGGGTGGGGTACTGTTCTCGTGACACAGGTGGGTACATGAGTAGGAGGGTGGGGGAGAAGGAGCAGAAGCCCCTACTCCCCCCCCCCTCCCAGGCAGCTAGAGAGGCCATGCTGAAGGCGGGCCTGGTAAATAGTAGTGGAAGCTGCTGCTGCCCTGCTTCCCCAACCACTGAGGCAGTGGTGCTGGAGGCAGGCAGGCAGGGAGGAGCCACCCCCACCCCATAAGGCAGGTGTGGGAGCTGCTGTGAGAGGCAGAGGTGGTGCTGTACCTGGGCAGGCAAGCGGCTGGCCCACTGCGTGGGGGGAAGATGGTATGCACCACACACACACACAAGTCTCACACATCCCCCCCCTTGTACTGCATATATGGTTGTATAAGAACACAACCAATCACTACAACATTGCATAAGGCTATCGTCTCAAGCCATTTTACCAGTATATGAATCTAAATAAAATATTGCTACACATCACTCAGATATTACACAGCATTACTATTTTAACTTTTGTTAACTTAAATATTATTTGTTGTTCAGTCACAGTCGAGTCCTGACTCCTTGCGACCCCATGGACCGCATCACGACAGGCCCTCCTGTCTTCTGCTGTCCCCTGGAGTTTGCTCAGTTTCATGTTTGTTGCATCGATGACACTGTCTAACCATCTCCTCCTTTGCCATCCCCTCCTTCTATTACCTTCAGTCTTTCCCAGCATCAGGGTCTTCTCCAGTGAGTGCTCCCTTCTCATTTGGTGCCCAAAGTATTTGAGATTCAGCTTCAGTATCTGGCCTTCCAGGGAACAGTCCGAGTTGATTTCCTTTAGGATTGGCCGATTTGATCTCCTGGCAGTCCAAGGGACTCTCAAGAGTCTTTTCCAGCACCATAATTCAAAAGCATCTATTCTTCGGCTCTCGGCCTTCCTTATGGTCCAGCTCTCGCAGCCATACATGACTACTGGGTACTATATGGACTTTTGTTGGCAGAGTGATGTCTGGACTCTGTACTTCTTATTATGCTGTCTAGGTTTGCCATAGCTTTCCTCCCAAGGAGCAGATGTCTTTTAATTTCATGGCTGCAGTCACCATCTGCAGTGATCTTGCATCCCAGGAATATGAATTCTGTCACTGCTTCCATGACTTCCCCTTCTGTTTGCCAAGGAGTGATGGGGCTGGATGCCATGAACTTAGGTTTTTTTATGTTGAGTTTCAAGCTAACTTTTGCACTCTCCTCTTTCACTTTCAACAAGAGGCTCTGTAGGTCCTCTTCACTTTCTGCCATTAGAGTGGTATCGTCTGCATCTCTGAGGTTGTTGATGTTTTTCCTGGCAATCTTAATTCCGGCTTGTGATTTATCCAGGCCGGCATTTCACATGATGTACTCTGCATATAAATTAAATAAGCAGGGTGACAATATGCATCCTTGCAGAATTCTGTCATCATCATTACAACTGTCATCAGCAACGTTCTATTTGTAGAATGCTGTGCACAGGAATTTTTACGCTTACAGTTCATGCACATGTACCGTGTGGGACTGGTTGTAAGCAGTTCCACACATGAATATGGGACTGTGTGCCCTAGTGAGGTCTCTTCTACCCCATGGATGGAGGAGGGGACCACCGGGCTTTGGTTTCACAGGTGCCCTCTCTCTCTACTGACAAGTGTGTGCATTTGATGTGGAAGAGTCAGGCACCCCTTATGGGTGGAAGCTCTCTGGTGTGTGGCGCTGATGGCACAGATGATGGGAAGGGCCTTGTTTCAAGTGTCTCTATTAAGAACAGCATTTGTTCTGTAGGAGAGCGTTTCTGTATCTTTGGCAGTTTAGTTATCTAAGGAAACGACACTAAGCCCAATTTAGGATTGGTCCTGGGAAAGCATTTCTAGAATTACAAACCAAGTCAACCTTAACTGGATATTTGGGGAGAACTTAGTACTTCCCAGCATTTCTTATTGTGATCGACAAGCTCAGTTGGAGGTGGCATCATTGCCAATGATGACACAAAATGTAAGACGGATCTCTCAAACATCCTGTTGAAATGGTGGCTGTTCCACAGTGGTGTGAACTGGACCATATTCCCTTGTTGCCCCCCCCCACCCCCTGACTCACACTTCCAAATATTTTGTGGAAATGAGTGGAAAGTAGTGCTAAACCACCAGCATTATATGCAGCCACTGACTGCACTGAACACTGGAAGAACCTGGTTGAATCAGACCAATGGTCTAATCCAGCATCCTGTTTTCCACAGTGGCTAATCAGATGCCTGAATATAGGTTATGGGAGCCAAAACCTCCCTCTGCACGCAGCAGTATGCCACCTCTGACAATGGGATTTAACCATGACGGCTGGCCAGGAGCCACTGATGGGCAGTTGCTGATCTTGTAACCAAGATATGCAACATGTCCTAAGTTCTGCCACCGTCCCAGAGGACTGGAGAGTGGCCAGTGCAACACCCAGTCTTAAAAAGGGATCCCAGAAATCACAGGCCAGTTGTCTTAATGTTTGTTCTGGGTAAATTAATGGAAAACATTATCAAAGATGAAACTGTCAAGTGTAGAGAAAGGCAAGCCCCGCTGAATAAAAACCAGCATCGATTATGCTAAAGTAAGTCCTGTCTTGCTAAACTTAAAAAAAACCCTTCACTTTTATTGGTTATCACCACTTTATCAGTCTCTAAACCTGTAGCAGTACAAAAATATTTCTTCAGACTTCTGCATTTCATGAGATTACATCAGGAGTAAAGGTAAAGGTTTCCCTTGCTCGAAAGCTAGTTGAATCCAACTCTAGGGGGCGGTGCTCTTCTCCGTTTCCAAGCCGAAGTGCCAGCGGGGATGCCAATGCCTCACCCTCTCTGAGCACAAAATATTACTTCTGTGCTGAACTCTGGCAAAGGAAGTCATAATACAGACAGCAGGGGTGGGGGATGACAACTAAAAACCAGGTAAAGCACATGGACACTCTTTGTGGTGCTGTAACAGAAGGCAGCAGCTGTCAAACGGGGTTTTACAGAACAGAAATCAATCTGGTTGTTAAATGTGACGAGTGGCTGGCAGTCAGTCAGCTTCCTACAAGGTGAATGCTTTGATGCACAGGGCCCCCCTTTTTAGCTATAACATGTATCACAAGAAGCCAGAAGCACAGGGGAAGACACATACTTTTACACCGAGTTAGAGAAAGTGGTGGTAGAGATAACAGAGCCCTTACACCCTGCTGAGTTTAGCAGGCCTCGACTAAGGCAACAGAGGGCTTTAGAAATAACCACTGTGGCAATCTCCTGGAAACCTTGCCTGTGTGAGCCCCATATCTGAACAGGAGCCATGTGCGAACACAGCTTGTAGCAAAGGGGGTCTGGGCAGCGACTGCTTCTGATAAACTGGGTTCCAGGGAGAGACTGACACCAACAGAGAGGCAGAGCCAGGGAGACATATGCACAACTGGAGAAAGACCGAGTCATTCATTCTCACCTGCTCTCCTTCCTCTGTCTTGCTAAACTTTTAAGGGACCTTGAAAGTGTCAATAAACATGTGGACAGGAATGACAGGAGTTTGGATTTCCAGAAAGCTTTTGGAAAAGTCTCTTGCCAAAGACTCCTGAACAAACTTCACTCATGGGATATGAGGATGTCCTCTCATGGATTGGAAACTGGCTAAAAAACAGCAAGCAGAGAGTAGGAATAAATGGCCAGTTCTCGCAGTGGAGGGGATGTGAGCAGCAGGGAGCCTCCGGGATCCGTGTTGGGACCGGTGCTCTTCAACTTGTTCACAAACGACCTGGAGTCAGGGGTGAGTAGTGAAGTTGCCAAGTTTGCAGGCCACGCCAAATTATTTAAAGTGGTTAAAACAAAAACAGAATGCAAACAGTTCAAAAAGGCTGTCACCAAACTAGGGGAATGGGTATTAAAATGGGATACAATGGAAGTGTAAATGGATGTATGTTTGGGGCAAAAAATCCCAGCTTCACTTACACACTGACGTGATCTGAGCTGCTGGCCACAAACCAAGAGAGGGGTCTTGGGGGTGTCGAGGTCCCATCAAAACAACGTAGTCATTCTTGTAGAAAAGAGGATTGTATTGAATCAATGAGTCACTAGAAAGGTTTCTGTTTAGAATAACATGGAAGGCTCATAGCAAGAAATATAAACGAAGTTCAAAATGCTGCTAAGCCAATGAATACATTTCCCGCTTGGGGATTAAAAGCGCCAAACTGCTGAGAACCAAAACGCTTCAGTTATCTTTACTGAGCTTTTCTCAGGCTCTGCTAATTAAAACAAAAAACTGCGGCCCTTCTTATCTCATACCTGCTTGGCCTTGAGTGTTGCTCGGTTCCCTAACTAGCTCTACGTCTGAGCATACGTCTGGGTTGCTAAGCGAGGGGAAATAAACAGTACACAAAGTAGGAGGGAATTACACAGGTTACAATAAAGCATGTGCAGAGTGTATAAGCCATACATCACCATGTTCACGGAATTTGGCAGCTTGCTGACGGGGGGTGGGGTGGATAGGTTGATGAAAACGTCGACCCGGTATGCCACTGTCGTGGGGGGG